CGATGTTGACATGATGCAGTTGGGGAGTTCCCGATGTTGACATGATACAGTGGGGGAGTTCCCGACATTGACATGATGCAGTGGGGGAGTTCCCGATGTTGACATGATGCAGTGGGGGAGCTCCCGATGTTGACATGATACAGTGGGGAAGTTCCCGACGTTAATAACAATTACTCTACCGTCATTAACAATTGAACCGCCGTACTTCAGTCGCGTTGCGATAGAAAAGCTAAATCTTATTAGAAAAAGAAATCCACATTTTCAAAAAAAAAAAAAAAATCTGAAAAATAAAAACGGATGTGTCGTATTTTCCAAATAGTTGCACACTTTTTTACCACCAGCAGATGAGATTTCTTTTCAGCAGAAACTTGGTCAGAATGTTCCACTAGAGTGCAATACACACATAACTATTTAAACAATTTCATACTCATTGCTTTCAGTGCTCGCGGTCTATATTCGACTGTAAGACGGTGTTAAATCAGCTCACAATTCCCCCTTCAAGCACACGTATAAGATGCAGGTGCCGGGATATGTAGAAGCCATATCTGCAGCGAAGCCCTGCTTGTCGCACACACGTTACCGCAACGTGTCGGCGACACGTTCTCTGCAGGCCGCAGCAGCTGCTCTATGTCATGACGTCATGCTTGATGCGTAAACTGGTTTACAGATATACTAGCACGTGTTTAGTTGCAGGGCCAAACAGGTGGGAATGATTGATTGTTTTTTCTCTCTTCCCGGTTCAATATTCCAGTTGAATTAAGATACCTTCTAGCTAAACTCTTTTCCCTACAAGAGCGAATGCTTGAATGACTTCTCCTCTCACAGGCAGTATTTTAGTTAAATAAAGATTCATTCTAGTTTAGCCTATTTTTGCGTCACGATGTCACATGACTCGATGTTGGCATCACGATGTCACATGACTTGATGTTGGCGTCACGATGTGGTATGACTCGATGTTGGCGTCACGATGTCCCATGACTTGATGTTGGCGTCACGATGTGGTATCTGTCTCTTATACACATCTAGATGTGTATAAGAGACAGATAATAGACCGATTTTTTATATGTATATGTGGATAATTTTTGA